CATCTTCGTCCGAATCATACTCTTCTACGTGTTGACCATCTTCATGATCGGGCTGGTGGTTCCCTCCGACGATCCCAACCTGCTCGGCTCCTCAGGCACGGCCTCGGAATCTCCCTTTGTCATTGCGGCGCGCAATGCGGGCATCAAAGTGGTGCCTTCGATAATTAACGCGGTGGTGTTGACGTCGGCCTGGTCATCTGGAAACTCAAACATGCTGGGAGGATCGCGCGTGATCTACGCCATGGCAGCAGAGGGTCATGCACCGAAATTTTTCATGCGCATGAACCGGTTCGGTATTCCGTATGTGGCGGTGACACTATTGGGAGTATTCATGGCTCTGGGATACATGACGTTGTCCAGCTCGGCCAGCACTGTTTTTACGTGGCTGCAGGACATTGTGTCCATCTCGACCTTAGTCAACTGGGGCATTATCTGCATCGTGTACCTCCGATTCTACTACGCATGCAAGAAGCAAGGGATCGATCGTCACAAGGAATTACCGTGGGCGGCGCCCTTTCAGCCGTGGAGTACATGGATCACGTTGGTGCTGTTTTGCTTGCTGTTTCTGACGGGCGGATACGAGACGTTTATTCACGGTGAATGGGATACGGAGACTTTTATCTCGTCGTACTTGAATGTCCCCATTATTTTTGTGCTGTACTTTGGGTACAAGTGGTGGATGAAATCGAAGATCATTCCGCTGGAGGATGTGCCTGTGCGGCCGTTCATCGAGCATTACCAGAGAAACCCGGAGCCAGAGCCAAAACCAAAACGGGGGCTACGGCGATTGAATATTTTGTGGGAGTAATGTATTTATAGGTGTCTTTATAATGTCAATAGTATTGTGTATTAGCCAGCAGTCATTTACTACTCTTGTCTATTTTCAACATATATATTTTCACTGCTAGGAGACCTCCCCCAAAGTATGGAAGGTAATGGATCTCACACTGCGTTCTAGAAAACAGCCATTGAGCATCATACTACATAGTAATATCCCATTATACACTAGTCAGCCTTAGGCGAACAAAAGTAGTGACATACTACAGTTAGTTCGATGTATTCACAATTCAAGTTGGCTATCAAAATGTGGTGTCAGCACGATAACTACGCCGGCTATCAACATGCCTTATCAACACGTTATCAAGTATCAGCTGCTGGTCGCATATCGCCAATTTCCCCTGAATTAACCTGCGCTTAGACCTACTCTAGTCCCCGTCTAGCGCATGTCAGCTGTATCTGCAAATGCGACCGGCCCGGCCTACTGAAATGGGCGAAGTTGCTGCCCCTCGCCCGGTATCGGCGGACACCCACCACATCACAACTAGTAGTACTATTTGATGCCACGAAGTTCCCCGCGATAACGCGTCTACCCCTCAATAACCGCGGTACCACACAAACCCTTCTCCCTTCCCCAAACCCTCAATTACTCACTTCTCACACACACACACAACACAAACAACATGCCCAACCACGTCGTCTTCGACGTCGTCGGCACCTGCGTGTCCTTCGATGCCTTCTACGCCACCATCGAGCGCACGCTCGGCCCCCAACTCAAGGCGCACAACATCACCGCCCAAACCCTGGGCTTCACATGGATGACCAACGCCGAGCTCCAATTCACCTTCCTCTCCATCTCCGAAAGCTACAAGCCCTACAAAATCGTCATCACCGAACTCTTCTACCAAACCCTCGCCATGATCGGCATATCCGACCCCCACAGCTTCGCCACCCCCGAACAACGCGACGCCTGTGTAGCCGGATACGCCGCTCTCGAGCTCCGTCCCGGCGCGCGCGAATGCTTCGCCAAGCTCCGCGACGCCGGGTTCACGGTCTGGTGTTTGACGACGGGCGATACGCAGCGTGTACGCGGATACTTTGAGCGGGCGGGGGTGGATATGCCGTTGGAGAATTTCCTGAGCTGCGATACGGCGGGCGTGGCGAAGCCGGCGTTGGCGGCGTATCGGCCTGCGTGGGAGAGGTTGGGTAATGAGGGTGGGGAGAAGTGGTTTGCCGCGGCGCATTTGTGGGATGTCACTGCTGCTACGAAGGTCGGGTTCCGCGGTGCGTATTGTACGGTTTATGAGAAGGAGGGGGCTTTTAAGGTTTTTGATGCGCCGTTGGATGTGGTGTCGGAGTCGTTGCCCGAGATGGCGGAGAAGATTATTGCTGCTTCAAAACAATGAATTGATGGTTTGGAATGAGTATGTTACATGATTGTTGTAGTGTAGTGTAAGCTAGGGAAGATCAACATGAGTCCAGATCGGATCCAGACTCGACCCGGCCAGGAACTCTTCCAGCACTTGGGTCTCTGTGCGGGTGGGCCAGGTCGCGGACGGCGATAGATTGGCACCGCCGAAGATGGAGAGATCCAGGGTTGGATCGAACGGGGGCAGCTGCTCCATCGCATCCAGTGGAACCGTCCACGGCTCGACTGTGTCAGGGTGCGGCGGGGCCGCTTCGGATGCAGGTTTTTTGCACGTCGTTCCCCAGTTGCGGAAGGCCTCGTAGTCGGACACCAGGCCCGTAGATTCCGAAGTGGGCTCCGGTCGCTGGGCTACTGTGTGCAGACGCGCGAGGGATCTCTCCAACGCTTCAAGAAGAGATACTTCAGATCGTGCAGAATCACCTGCTGCGGACATCTCCCGGAGCAGCGCGAGTCCCTCTCTCATGGGCTGGCGCAGAGCGTCTGACAGATTCTGCACGGAGAATGCGATGAGCACCAACAGAGCAGCCCGACACGCGCTGTACTCCAGATAGGAAGCTCGTGCTAGCCCTGGTCCGTGATCGCGCAGCTGGCGACAGATCTCGAGTGCCTCCTGAGCCGCTTGGATGCAATCGCCGATGAGACTGTCGCGGTCGGAAGGCTGGGAGTACAGTTCCTCCGAAGACGATTGGGGATTTGCATTCGGATGAGTAGGGGATTCCTTGCGGAGGAGGAACGGGCGGCCGATGAACATGCGCAGCAGACATGATTCCAAACACAGGTGCATGACTGCGCGATTAGGTCGGTGACCCGCCTGGACTGGGTTGACGATAGTGTCAGAGATGCTTGCCCACCAGCGATTCCAGGACTCTTTTCGGGCTATCAGCTGGCCTATGACGACTGGTAGTCCTGCCGGTTGGGCGTGTCTCAGACGCGAGCTGTACACTAATCAGCATGAGAAATATCATAGGGGGTTGGGTGTCGCACATGTCATGGAGAAATTCCTCCAGCCAGTCTAGCATCTGAATTGAGATGACTGCACACTGCGGGCTCCAGGCGGATTGGGTCTGGCCCATGTCTGCGCGAGCCTGGGGGAGGTCTGCATCCACATCCCCGCGATGCACGGACAAGGGGCGTCCGTGGAAGATCGAGATTAACCTTGGATATGTTAGCGAGATTGAACAGCAGTAGTGGAGATCACAGACCTCTCCAAGGAATACGCTGTCCACCAGACCCGGTTCCGCGTCTCCATCATGACCGGGCTGAACGCGTCCCGGCGGCATTTCCGATGCATGCCGTTTTGCATAGCCAGACGCACCGCCAGATTGACGTAAATGTAACCAAGCCCAGAGGCATCCACTGGAAGAGCATAGAACCCGAGCAGTAGACATGCTTGTACGCTCTCTAGGCAGGACAGCTCGATTATTTCAGGTAGTAGTCTGATTGACTGTTCATAGAATCGCACCCCGACATCTTCTTCGGAGAAGGACGTCTGGCTCTTAGGATCCCGGTCGCTAGGGGACTCCAAATGGGCATACTGAGTTCCGATTGCGAGCACAGAGAGCAGGATGCTTGCCACTGCGGCAGCCGTATCTCCAAGACTCGCGGGGTCCGTGTATAATCGGTGGACGCGGTCTAACAGCCAGTCTTCTTCTACCAAAAACCAATGTGTTGCGGCATACTTGAGAAAGGTCTTGACAAGGAAGCCAGTGATCGGACGAGGGGGAAAGCATGCCAGCGCTGCTGATAAGTGTTCGTTGGTCTTGAGGTGTTGAGCCCGCCAGTATCCTGAAACGCGGTCGGGGCTCTTAGTCCGCATGCGACTTTGGATGCGCTGCTTGATGCGCATGGAAAAGTTCCAGTACGAGAATTCCCCAGAGAAGTCTATAATGTCTTAGTGAATATCCAAGCTGGTTACGGCCAGAGCAAGACGCACGTGTAGTGGTGTCACCAACCGGATCGATAGTACAGTCCTCTTCCTCCAGAGCGAGTCCAGCCGGACTAGTAACTTCTGTATGATCTGAACCTTTGCCGGTAGTAAAGGAGTTGGCCAGGCGGGCAAGGCTCTTGGTGTCGAGCTCGATGCCCTCTATTGTGTGCTTCAAGATCTGTTCCATGTATCTGCATCGGTCTAGCAACTCCTGTACCTCCGACTTGGCTGGCCGTGTTCTGGGGTGAATGATTAGCGTGCTGTTGTGCCCAGCTGGCAGATGAACTTGCCTGGGAACGTAAACGCGAAAATCTCGGGCGCGTGACGCGAGGGCTTTGGATTCACAGGGACGTCGGAAATGGGCGCATCGTCGACAGGGGATTCCTCCTTCGCATTTTTCCTTCAAGCGGCGACATTCGTCGCATCTGCAGTACTTTCAGTGATCTGGTTTATCTGGAACTATAAGTGTCGAGTGGATGACTTACGCGCGGGCAGATCGACGGCCTTCTGCCATACTGTTTATTTAGGTGTATTTGACTGAACCCTACGATGAGAAATGAAGAGGCGAAATGTGTCAAAGCACCAGAGACGGGCTACAATCTGGACATATACGCTAACAGCTGCTCCGATGCTTCTCCGCACGCGATAAGCTGCGATAGACAACCCCCGCAAGGGCCTTCCTGCTGACCGGCACCTCTTGCGCCGCGATTGGTCTGTTATCGCCGCCAGTGGGTCGGCTTGGAATGCAAGATAAGCTGTTCCCCACAAGCTGTGCTCTTATTCCCTAATGTACTAACGCCTGCTGAGAGCCGCGGATGAGTGGCGATCTGGCTAGTGTGATTAAAGATTTTTAAATATATTCTAGTTCTGGTTTTTACGAAGTGCGGAATTAGATTTTATTGACGTGTGTAAGGGCGTCAGACATCATCTCTCCCTCCTCGCGGTCTCTTATGCGGAGTGATCACAATTTCATCAGCGATTGAGTCACTCCGTCTGTCAAGCAGCAGTTTATCAGTCCGTCGATACACTAGTCCCTACTGATAGAGGCGATGGCGTCTCAGCAAAAGGGCCCTTGCGACACGCCTTGTCTGAGGACTCGTCGGCGTGACTGCTGTTTACTCGCACAGTTTGAGTGAAAACGATTTTGGAGTGCTCTACCTCCACCGCTTCGGTCTGTGACGGTCGGGAAAACAGACGAGGCATCTTGTCGCGCAGACGTGTCAAGGAAAGAAAGAGTGGTCGCATATTCGACAGACAAGAAGCTGTTATACCCACGGCGGGCTCAATGCACGTCCACACACTGGCGGGTACTTGGTCATCTTTATTGGTGCATATACGGTCAGTCGAGTTCATCATGCCCGTTTAGGCTTGGTTAATGCTTACAGGTAATGTCATTTCCGGACTTTGAAAGCTCAATTAGTGTCACCAGACGTACAATGTCAAAGGCAAGCGTTCTAATGAGGGCATATCCATGTCAGCAACAGTAATCCGAACAGCCGGGAGTGAGAACTCACAAAGCACCAAGGCAGAAGATGCCTGTCAACATAATCTTTTGCGCACGCGGCACTTGAAGGTTCCAAACATGTTTCATCGGTAGCGCCAGGATGACGGCGTCAGTCACGATGTTGGGAATCTGGAGACCATAGTAGAACTTGGCCAGGTCGATGCACCCGCCGGGAATCGTCGGGTTCCAGAGCTTCTCCAATGGAATACATACGACGCCCCCAATCAGACATACCCCAAAACACCACAAGATGACAATAGCCCCGACGGAGTTAGCCGCTAGTATCATCGGTCGGATGGAAAAGATTCGCTTGTATAATGCGAGGATAGAGAGCTTAGTGAATGCGATGCATAGTGTGTAGAGGAAGCTGCCGCTGGCTAGAGTCTGGGTAGATTGTCAGCTCAATAGCAGAGGGGTGCAAGCAGAGTGATGTCACCAACCTTTAAATACACTACCAAATCTGAAGGAGGAACGTATACGATGTGAGTGCCCAGTCCGTTATACAGCACTGCCATTCATTAGTAAAAGGGATTACGGTGCAGTTGTTAACCAAACTGGGTGGTTACGCACAGACAACTCCAGCCAGTGACACTGCGTATTCGAAGACCTGCCCCGGAATCCAGTGTCAGCAATACTGGATGGATGTTTAAGGACTTTGAGGAACCAGAACATACCAATGCCACAATGATCAAGTAATCATCAAAAAAGACCTTGGTGCCCGTGATCTTGCGACAGTAAAGACGCAGGGCAACTGATACCGTAGAAAGAATCAACGCAAAGCAAGTCGCAGTAATCACGACATGCCGCAGATTATCATGGTCATATCCAAGATCACCAGTCTCAGATGCCGCCATCGTGAGTGGAAGTCAGCTACGACAGGGCGATTTTCTAGTGTAGCAGGAGAATATGGTTTGCCTTCGAGACCATGGGCAACCGCGGGCTAAAAGAGATGTCATTTCGCGAGTGTCAGGAGTGTCAGTGGTACGCGAATCTCCATCGCGATCGCAAAGGTGCTGATTGATGTCATCAATGATGGTTGCAGAACCTCTGCTGCAGCGTATTATTGGCAGCCATGGCAATTAGTACAGCCACCCGCCGATCGAGCCAAGTAGCGTGTCAAGATTGACGGTATCCTCGCTCAAAATGGCAGATTCTGCATCATCTGTCAGCTGTCGGCAGATACCATCCACCAGTCAACCCCTTGCAGGAAAGCCACGCTCAACAATTCCAGGTCAGTGGTTTGCGGACCTGTCACATTGCCGACGTAGGACTATGCCTAGTACTATCAACGACCGAATGCCCCACTCAAAATAAAGTTCATGTTTGATACCTAGATCATAGCGTGGCAACAAGTCCGAAAAGGAAGCGCTTTGTAGTAGGGCAATTCCTTAATATAAGTGAGGCGGAAGACAAGTTGTGGGATCGAGTATCGATTTGGCAAATTGCTATGCAACTCCACATTGGGCCTGGTCTACCCACTGTCTATTTTTACATCGGCGAGAACTTGGCCCCAAGGGAGAGTGACTTATGTTACACAATTTATACATTCCAGTTACCTTCTATAAAACCCTTTGGCAATTGGTGTACTTATAGAATCCGGAAAACAAAATGTGACAGGGAACAATCGGTCTCGGCCATGTGGTATAGCGTGCGATATCACTCCTAAACCCAGTTTATTAACAACCTATGATAGCAGCTACTAGACCTGAGCCGAATAGGGGCGCAAGCTCGAGGGAAAAGATCCTGTCCTACGAAGTCATTTTACGCAGCAGCTCTCTCAAACAGGAATAGAAGTCCTCTCTATCCAAACAAATAACCTACGCCAACCATTCCGCAATCCACTTCCTCAGCCACTCAGGCCGTACCCCCTCCACCTCGTGTAACTTCTTACTCATCTTTGCAGTGTGCAGCGACTCAAAGACAATTAGTTGAGTCTGCTCCGTCTCTAAATCTTGAAAGAAATCTAACAATTTGGCAGCCGGGTTCTGCTGCAACAGCGCCTACAGCCCCTTTTCACCCAAGTTCTCATTCTCAGCATCCGCCGAGAAGCGGGAACTGGCTGCCTCGATGTCATGCCGGACACTCTGCACCCACTCGCGCAATGGGATGGTCTCAATCGTCTTTCCGGTGCTGTCTCTGTTCTTGATGAAAAGCGCGTCGGCCACGACGGGCCGTATCAAATCCCAGGATTGGGGTTGGAGGTTGACGGGATGATAAACTTGGACCGCCGGCGGCGAACCGGTAGCCGAGGAGCAGCCATGATTATCGGCAGCACCGACAAGAGCTAGCTCAACCAGTACTTCGGCTAGAAGATCAACAGGTACCCAGTCAACCCGGTCCATCAGACCCAGGGTATCGGGGAGAGCTTGAAGGTGTCGTGAGCTCTGAACAAGACTTGGGAACCACTCGGCGCGATTCCAGAGGCCGGGAGATCGCACAGCGCCTGCGACTTGGCCCACTCGAGCGAAGGAGAAGGATGGGGCAGCTCGTGCTTGTTCGGGGCTATTTTGTTGCACTTCCTGCTGCTTCGCAGCGTAATCAAGCAGATGTTCGGCAATGTATTCACTGTTAGCGTAGCCATTCGGGGCAGGAGTGGTGGTGGAAAGGACGGTTTCTGGTATCAGGCCAGACTCGCTGTTACGATGGCCCATGACCGAGCTGATGGATGACAGGAAGAATAGATGGGGAGATTGTGGGCTGCGGGTCGCGAAGTTGATCAGATTTACCACGCCCTGCATGTGGGGTTTGCAGGTTGCTAGGGGGAGGTTGAAGTTCACGGTCCAGGCGTTGTGGATAATTAGGGTGGCGGTTTGCTGCAACTGGGTGTAGACATTGGGCTCGAGACCCAGATCGCCGTCCTGGCTTAGGTCCGCGGTCCAGAAGCTTAAACGTCCTTCGTTCTCAGCCTGTGGGGTGAGGCCATACTCCTTGATGCGGTTTTGCTGTCTCTCATGTGCATCATCGCCTCGGTTCAGGCAGTGGACGTGCGGCACAGAGGGGTCTCTCAGGAGCGCATCCAGTATATAAGTTCCTAGCTGGCCAGTGGAGCCGGTAAGGATCACAGTGTGCTTTGCGGGGCTTGTGGTGTTGGCAGAGTAAATGGCGGCAGGACTGAGCTGTTCGATTTGACTGGTATATAGCTCCAGCAGTTCGCCCCGCTCTTGAAGGAGACCATGTTGTTGAACTTCTGTAGACTGTTTACTCTGCATGTCCAGCTGTTGAACTGCTTGGGTAAGCTCCGTTATCGAGGGGTGCAAATATATCACGTTAGGTGTGAGAGTTGGTAGATTGAGACCTTGCTTAAGCACACGCGTCATCGTTATTGCCTGCAACGAGTCCATCCCTAGAGTGAACCAAATTTCTGTGTCGGACACTTCTGCACTTCAAACCGTAATTGCCAGGAGAGACGCGCGGATGAACGCAGCAACCTTGACGACATCTTCCACGGCCCCGGGACCGTGTATTTTGCCAGCGTCATGCTGGGCAAGCTTCTCGGCGTCCGCGTAGAGGGCGTTGAGCTCTGCTGCGTACGTTGCCAAAGTACCTGCGCGTTGTACGGTGCCCTTTCCGGCACGCAGCATGGGCTTCTCCGGAGTGGTGAAAAGAATGTGTCTCTTGGCGATACGGGTATGGGCTGGACACTCCTCGTTTGCCTGCTGTATGCTGGGCCAGAGTCTTTCAATGGCAGCGGCCCGGTCGCTCGTGCTCAGTCCTACTTCTGAGCGGCCCAGTTCAACGATGAGAGCGGCTTGAAAGAGTTGTGCGCCCGCAACCAGAGCCCCTGTCAGCTCAGTATGAGAAACAAGTATGTGTCCCTCCATCGAGACGGGATTTGTCTTATCGCCATTGAGGAAAACAATCACATCATCTAACCTTGAAGATGGCCGCCAGAGGTCTGAGCTGGCCGGATCCGGGTGGCGCAGCATCAGGTCGTTGGTATGATATTGCTGACGGTCGGGGGAAATTGAAAAGGGAAATTGGTGACCCTCGCGCTCTGGAGTGCGCACCATGACCGCCTCATACTTGTCCCCAGACACATGCCGGAATTCAACGCCCAGCTGTGGATGAAAGTGAAGATAGCGCCAGTCTTTGAGAGGATCCCATTTACCCGTGGCGTGGATCACATTCAGAATCCCCAGCTCGGAAGCGCCATAGCTGTTCACAATTCTCAGCTTGCGGGCTACTATGTCCCCAACAGGCTGGGGCAGATCTCCGCCACAATACATCATGTACTCCAGATGGTTGCCACAGTACTCCAACAGATCAGACGATTGGGACAATTCCAGTACGATTGACGGTACAATAATCGCCCAGTCAAATGGGGTGTGCTTCTTCGCGGCTACCAAACCGGTCGCGCTGGGAAGGCCGGCAGCAGTAGGCATTATCAAGGTGATATCAACGGGCATGGTAATGAAAAGGATGTGTCCTAGTCCAGCGGCCTACATACTTAGTCAACCCTTGCAGTGGGGTACCATTGGGTAAGCTTACATGGAAGGGAGGCAGAGAGAGATACATGCGCTTGCCGAACCCCCAGCTGTCCTGGCCTTCGCAGCCAGCGGGTATATCGAGTCGTTGCATGTGCATGTGCTTGACAGCGCTGTCATGGGTCCAGATGATAGGCTTGGGAATGCCCGTCGGTCCCGATGTGTGCAAAATGGCCAATCAATCATGTGCTGCTTCAGGGTATGTTTTGTGATAGGGAAAGACCGGATACTCTGTCGCGAGTATACCGCCACACTAGGGACATCAACGACCTTCCCTGGGTGGGCCTCGACAACTACCGCGATGAATGGCGGCCGTGGTGAGGGAGCCAGCAGCGTCCTGCACTTCAGTTTGGTTAATAGCGACTGGTGGGCCACTGTACTGTTGCGTGGCGAGGTAAGAAACATCTGTCAATACATGCATGTCAGCAGGTTCCCCGGAAACCACATTACGTAAAGGCCCATCCTACACAGTATCCAGCCTTGACTGCTCCCAAGACCAATGCCGGATATCGCAAGTCATTCGGTCCAAGGTACGCCAGAGTTTCTCCTGTTCCAGGGCCCAGGGTCTTCGTCAGCCAGCCAGCGACACCATTGATAGCGTTGGCCAAAGCTTTGTAGGTGATTGGCCTGTAGCCTTCCTCATAAGTCATGGGATTCACCGGGTATTCTGCATAGATGGCATCCGGCTTGAACTGGGCATAGTGGTCAAAGATGTTCGGAAGTAGCTCTGAGCGCGGATCATAGCCGGGAGAGGGAGTCCAAGTTGTCATGATGATCAGGGAAGTTGGGGTCACAAGAGACAAAGGAGGAATAAGACTTCGTTGATCGCTATGATGATGTTGACGATGAAGATGTCATTCCAGCCCAACCAGGGGAGAACCGTTTCTTTATAAGGCCAAATGCAAAACGGAAGGTGAAAGTACGGTATTAACCGTGGCACTGAACATATGGGTGGTGAAGGGGACGGAGAGGTTGATAGAGGAAAATGGCACTGGACTGGACCACCTTGCTGGGGTTGGCCAAGCAAGAGGGTCAGGGAATTTCCGTCATCTCTCAGCAGCCCTTGTATGTATTGGAATGACCAATGACCAAAATTCATACAGAGGTCTTCTTTGTCCCAACCAACAGTTCCGACCATCAACGTGGATTACCTGCTAATTCAACTCACTTGGCATATGTACATACCCTAGCTAGCTGCGGCTATCCTTGCCATTGACCAAGGCCAATCAATTAAGGCGAGGTGAACCCATGGTCTTTAACAAAAGCACCCGTGGCAATCATCGGACAGTAGCGAATACAAAATGACCAGCCCCACTTGGTTGTCTTTATCATTCACTATCACATCGCCATCTAGCTAATCGAAGAGTTTGTCCCCTCATTATAGCCACTAGGTGTAGCATGCATCCAGTGACTTTCACAGGGGTGTTTGGGGGGAAGAGGAAGTAGACAGCGATTGGAGGAGTCAAGGGTTGTTAACTTGGCAGAAACGCCTGGGTCGCTTTGAAGACCATGGACGACCCACAGCTAAGAGAAATGTTCTAACTATTTGTATTAGGAGCTTAACTGTACATGAATCGCAAAGTGATTATGAAAGTGCTGGTTGCTATCATTATCAATGATGCTAGAGCGTCTGCAGAGGTCTGTTATTAGCAGCCATAGCACGTGGTAGTTCGGTCGTCCGCTGCTCTAAGTAGGCTAGAAGCAGCTCAGAATTGACAGTGCTCTACGGGAAGATAACAAGTTATGCACAATCTGTCAGCTCCTTTGCTGTTCATCCAACCTATCCCGGCGGCCTTTGCATTGATTCTATATCGGTTGGTCCTAGTTTCCGTGGAGCAAACCCGTCGACGTCGGGTTTACGGATTCGAAGGCACGCATAACGGCCATGGTAACTACCGGATACCCCATAATAGCATCATGCAAGCCAGTCTTAGGATCTGCTCCCGGATGATACCATTGTCGGTTTTCCATTCCATGACAGTGCCAGCAGCGCCAAGGTCTACTTTGGCGTCTAGTTTCCTAAGCTCTAGCTCTTCATAGCTGATGCCTCCAGGTACAGTTCCTCGGACTGCATGCCAGAACACGGCTTGGCTGTGGTGCGAAGGAATGTCATAGTCGTCTTCCGCGTGAATGATGGTTAGGTGGTATCCTTTCCCGTTCTGTTCGTTGGCCCGCACGTACTCGGCAATGCGATCCTTGCTCAGCCATTTGTCCCGAATAAAGCGCTGCAGGGATTCGAAAAGCCATGGGAAGCGCGCAAGTGGAGACAGGATCGGAATGATGCCTGCTACACGATAGGTCAAAACCAACGTCGCAACATCGACAAACGGGGCCACCAGCACGGTGCCAGCAAACACCACGGGTGGAGATTGGACAGCAAGGTCACGGGTGATGGCAAGGCTGACGGCAGTCCCCATAGATTGACCGAAGATGAGAATGCGAGAGGGGGGAATGCCAGCGACCGTCATGGCCCAGTCGACCACCGCACGGGCGTCGGTGATCAGGCCCGCCTCCGAGGGTTGACCAGTACTCCGCCCAAACCCCCGATAATCAAAAGTGAGAACATGGATCTTCTCCGGCTGGCCAGCGCACAGCACCCGGTAGTTGGGAACGCGATATCCGGAACCCACCGTGCCCCCGGCACCATGCATGTGCAAGATCAGGCGAGCGTCAGGGTCGTCGCGCAGAAGCTGGAAGGAGAGCCGGGAGTTTATATCGGAGACCAATCCTGCGGGCTCTGCAACCAGGGATTGTTCGTGTTGGCGGTACAGTTCCACCGGCAGGATGTGCCAGGCGTAAAGCTGCTCCCCATCCGGGGTCCGGATTGTAAAAGGGGTGACCTGATTGCGTAGAAAGCCAAAGGTTTCAGGGACATTGAGGTCTTTAAACCATGTCATTTCGATGGCATGCAGATACACCACGTGGGATTGGAATGTTTGCGTTGTCAGTAGGCCCAACAGCGTCGCGTATAAGCCGACCGCAATGGCGGCTGAAATAGAAGCATTCTTGAGTAGAGAGGCTAGAAGGTCATTTGCTGGCATAATGAAGCCGTTATCGGGTTCAACACCCGGATGACTGGTGGAGAGATCGTAGGACGGGTGCAAATATCTGGGGGGAAAGGGAAATAAGGGGTTTCTGGAGGGATCGTGAGGAATAACAACAGACATCCTTGTGCTGCCGGGCGGCTTTTGCGACCGTCAGGTTGGCTGCGCTGCGGTCCCCTGTGTACCATCCCGAAAACCCCATCGCGGCTGCTATCTACATAGCTGGTATGGGAGACATAGTCCCATAGTATGTCATGATTGTCGTCGAGTGAAGAGATTCTGGTTGGTCGTGAGTACTACTCTAACTTCTTCGTCCGATGAGAGATGGGAGCAAACAAAGGGCAAGAACCTACGGAACAAAGGACCGGCAGCTGGCAAGGCCTCGTTGATGCCTGGGGCATCAAAGGAACGCGCCCCAAGACAGTCAATCCCGGGTAAGACAGCCGGCACAAGAAGCGACGTAGCAGTGGTAGCACATTATGCCTGCAGTATTTGATTGTCATGGGATGATATATCTCAGTCCTTCACATGCTGGACAGGCACCAGTACTAAGAATCAGTGGTAGCCAACCGCCCACTTTCTTTTCGCTATCCTGCGACCAGCTACTAAGTACTACCGACGAACTTTATATATCACAACTGACCACTTAGGTTACTATTGGTATTTAGTACTCCCTCTCGCTGTCCCCATTGCGATTCCCAATGGAATGCCACCATATCTAGTGGAATTATTTCCACCTTGGTATCAAAGCTTGTTCATAGCCAGTTATGATCCGGATTGTTCAACCGGAGCTAATGTACCTTGATTATCTCGTATATCCAGTCCATTTTTCCAGCCTTTCGGGCCCCCGATGAGACCGATAAGCCGAAGACCGAACACATGAGCAGCCCCTCCAGTTCATTCAACCACTATATATCTGACCGGTGAGCATGTAGTAAGCCGTATCTTTCAGCTTCCCCATCATATTCTCAGATCTTACCAGTATAAGCCTTCCTCCGTCGTTCCTCTATTACAAGTTCTCAGCATGTCTCGTCGCACTGTTGTTGTCATCGGCGCCACGGGCTCACAGGTCAGTCGCATGCTTAGCTTTTGCTAAATAGTGCAGTATAATTATTCTGGTCGCTGATAAATCTCCAGGGTGGTCCTGTCGCTAGGGAGCTTTTGAAAAGCCCGGACATGTACCACGTCAGGGCTTTGACGCGCGATCCGAGCAAGCCAGCAGCACAAGAGTTGGCAGAACTGGGGGCAGAAGTTCAGCCGTTTGATCTAAATGCCGGCATCGACGCCCTGCTTCGGGCATTTACCAATGCCGATGCCGTCTTTGCTATGACAGACTTTTGGGCAACACGGTCAGCACAGGCAGAAGCTATCCAGGGTCGAACCATCATTGATGCTGCAGCTCAAACCTCAACCATTGAACATTTCATCTGGAGCTCACTCCCAGATCCCGAGAAAGCTTCCGGCGGTATCTTGGAAAACATTCACCACTGGAAGAGCAAGAGTCTAGTTGCAGACTACATACAGCAGCAGTATCCAGAGTTGTGGGGCAAGACTACGGTTGTGCTCTTTCCCAATTATTTTGAGAACTGTCTGTCTCATCCCGAGCGCTACCTCTCCCAGCCTGTTGGTCTACCTCGTTTACCCGATTACCACATACTTGATACTTGGCATTCAATCTTACCAGGCGATTCTAGGATGCGCAAGGCGTGTATCATATGTACTTGCCACACAGCCCGTCCACTGTCATGCCGAACGGATCGATTCGTGACACAGGCAAGCTTGTCCGACTAATCCTGGAAGATGGAGTCACGTACTTCACGAAGACCGTGGCTTTCTATAGTGAAGCCATTTCGGAGGCAGAGAAGCAAGCCATGATTGGTAAAAGTAACTACCCCTACCCAACTTTCTATCTGGCGTTGCATGACCTGTTGGACTTACGGACAATATTCCAGAATATGGGTTGCAGACAATGTACCATGTGATAAGTCCCGATGAGCATCAAAAGAAGCTGGAGAGTCAAGGTCTATCTCCTAAGATTGCTCTGGATTATACCGAGCAGCTCTTGATGTTTGAGAAGTTTGGAAACGTGTGTGATGCATCAGAATACATCCAGGCCAAAGAGGTACGTAGAACCTTCTAAATAAAACTGACCAATACACGGGAACTAATCGACACAACGCAGATTCCAGGTCTTCGCCTTCAGTCGTGGGCGGAGTTCCTAGAAGAGAATGACATTCTTGCCAACATGAGGGCTTCCTGATGCATGTCAGCATATGAGGCAGCCATGGTAAGGTCTATATGTCTGGGATATAGATATCAGAGAGCCCTTCCACGAGTTTGATATATTCATATGTCACAGATAATATATTTCCTGCCCATCCCCTCTCTGCCTAAGGCAATACCGGAAGAATATTTATCCGAAGAAACCGATCGGGGGAGAACAGAGACCCTATTCAATGACTTAAAGAGTTCTTAATGAACTGACAACCATGCGTCCTCTATTTAAGAGTGTATCAGCAGAAGCAGTAGACTGTAAATTTAGCAGAACGGACCTTTTTTCCCAAGAGTGGACCACACCCAGCCGGATACCAAGGTAAGCCTGACCGATAAGCCTTGAGAGGATCCGCAGAGGATCCACTAACGAGACTGACTGGTTATACTCGTGTACAGACATGCAGTAGCACAAAAGTAGACCAAACGGTTACACAGTGCATGGTAATGGACTTTTAGAGGTTTCTTTTGATTTGAAAGGATCAGAAGTAACTTTTTCTTCCGTACCACCTACATGCCGAATACTTGGATTCCCGGACCGGTTCAGCATTCCATTTCCTGCGGTGTAACTGGTTCCTCATGATTCGCATCGTCATGCTCTTCTTCATCTTTCATCATGCCCTTACTTTTTCCAGAGTCCTGCATTGTCCCTACACAATTGTCATTCGTAGCGGTGCATCTTGGTCCACCCATCCACTCTGAGTGGCCTGCCTTTCGGAATACGAGAGCCCCAACGCACTTGTCGCTCGCAGATAATGAAAAAGATGGAATACTTGCTGGGCATGATTCACGGGCGGATCCCTTCACTTCCATCCGCAGGATTGCTTACGGTCGAGGCGCCTGTCATTTGTCACTCCGTCTGCTCCTGTGGGGTCCCGGCCACAGCCACCAACAATCAATGCCTTAAGTGGAAAAGTGGAACAGGTCAGCGAAGGATGGGCACTGCCCGATGCCATCTGACCCAACGTTTCAGTGCCCTATAAATCCAACCCTGAGCCACATGGGAGTCAGTGATATCCCAAGTGACATCCATTTACCCATCATCACACTATGGCTACCTTCAAACCGCTCCTCCCACCCCGAGCTGTCCCACGCGACCGTGGCGATGGCCCGACTCCCCTGCCCGACTCCGCGAGCTCTTTCTCGCCCATGGTTCGCGACAACCTTACCCTCTCCTCGTGGCTCCTCCTGGGCGGGCTCGTGCAAGGCTGTGCATTTCTACTGCTGGGTTCCCTCTCCCTGCTTCCAACCGCGGCGATCCTCCTCTACAGAACCATGGACCATCTGCTGATGGCCTGCCACCTGACCCCCAACCGGTACCTGGCAGGATCCATCCCTATCAAGCGCAGTGCTCAGTATCCCCGGCCCGATGGCACCTTTGGCAGTGAACCGGCGGGCGAGTCTATCGTGGTCTTCCATTTGGGTGCACGCTGCCACCATCCTCTCGGGCTGCTCGCCCCAGGCATGAAGGAGTTGGGCGACAGTGCCGATAAGATGCGACGGGACATGCGCGCCAACCCTGTCAAGTACGGTCTATTGGGCTCCTCGCACTGGCTGAAGAGCGACAGTGCAGCGGGTAATGAGTCTATGACCCTCTTCTACCTCCGCGACTACGCTGCTCTCCATCAGTTCGCCCACGATGAGATCCACATGGAAGGGGTGCGCTGGTGGGCTCGCATCGCCAAGGATCATCCGCATCTGGCCATTTACCATGAAACCTATCTGGTGCCCCGCGGAAACTGGGAAAATATCTACATTAATGGGTGGCCGACGGGTCTGGCCGATACCTGGTTTCCCGTGCAGACTCAGGCTGACAAGGAGAAGAATACTGGAGTGGTTGAGCAATGGGTGCGACCGTTGGTTGACGCGCGTGACGGTGTCTTACGGTCGGCCAGTAAGCGGCTGCAGTTGACACGCTTGGAGGGTCGTGAAAAGGAGCACGACGATATGTATAACCAACCGGAGGGCCTGTGATCGGCAGCTACAAGATTATCAGCGCAGGAAATCCATGCACCTCTCCTCTCACTTTTGTGATCTCTTCGATTTAGCCCATTATCTATCGTAATCCCATGATGTGCACTCAATTTGTCTCTCATTGCTTCGCCCGGATCCTTAATCCCCCAGGAAGAAACTAGAGCGGACTAACTTCCTTCGAGCCTGCTGCGGTGGTTTTAGTGGCCGCGCTAGACGGCAGATGTCTGGATGCCAATCAATCACATTCCAGACATTTTGGGTCCGACCACGATCCGCTGGCCTATCCTCTGCTAGCCACGTTAGTTTTTCTAGGCATGACTCGACCTTTTGGTTCCCCTGGCGTATCGCCAGGACTCTGAAACAGCAAACCCCCGATTGAGCCTCCCCGTCGATAGGAGCATGGACAGTTCCAACACGCTGGTACCATTCCGTTCGGAATCTATGCGCCGTCGATCCGGTTGCAAGAGATCGAGAACCGGATGTCGCACTTGTCGGTAGGTCTACGAGAACGACCCAAGTTCACATCTGCTGCTACTGACTCGGGGCAGGGCTCGCCGTGTGAAATGTGATGAAACCCCCGGCGCATGTCATAGATGTACCTCCACCGGTCGCGTTTGCGATGGCTACGAACTGCAGAGGCTGCCTCTGGTGAAGGACTCGTGGTCCAAGATCAGCGCTGACTTGGGGAGTGGCTTTCGATGGACCATCACATCCGATGAACGCCGCTGTTTCTCTTACTTCCAATACCATACGGTGCCTACCTTCCGCGAGATGTACGACTCCTCTCTCTGGCAGCACCTAGTCCTGCAGATGGGGCAGTCGGAGCCAGCCGTCTATCATGCGACCGTGGCCCTCAGCGCCATTCACCAAGACGCAGAAGCCCGAGGGATGCCCTTGGCTGCCAACCTGCCCGCGACGTATGAAGGCCCCTGGCTGCGCTTTGCGCAAGAGCAGCTGGGCCGCGCCTTTCAGACCCTCACCAGGCGCCGGGCCTCGCCCGATCCCCGATTGCGCAACGTAACCCTGCTCTGCTGTTTGCTCTTCGTTCTGTGTGACTTGCTGCAGGGGCACTACGACGATGCCTTCACCCATCTTCAAAGTGGCCTGCGCATCCTCCGCGAGCTTCAGGCGGAGCGAGAATTGGTGGCGCCCACACCTCGGCAGGGGCGCGTTGAACGGTGTCTGGTTGCGGCCTTTGCGCAAATCGACATCATCTCCGCTCACTATGGAGTTGGGGGCCCTCTGTTATGCATCGATTCCCTGCCCGGGGAGTGGCAGTTGGCACCGACTTCGTCGGCCCCCTTTTCCACCCTAGAGGATGCCTGCGCTGCCTTCAACCTTGTCACGAGTGCGGCGTATCGTTTGGAGAACTCATGTATGGGGATGTCGGAGCAGGAAATTGCGCGCAACTACGGCACCATTCAGTCAAACCGGCTGCGGGCCCGCTCTCTCGCATCACGTTTCTGGCAATCGTTCGAGCCATTTTACCGGACCTCGTACCATCTTTTGGACCGCAAAGAGCAGAGGAGTGCCGAGCTTCTTCACCTCCAATACCTCGGCATTATGGTGTCTCTGGAAGTAAACACACAGGCACACAACGAAGCCGTCATGGCTTCCTTCACACCAGACCTGGAGGAGATCGTTTCATTTGCCGAGTCGATTATGGACCGGTTCCCTGAGCGTCCCACCGTCAGTATCAACCTGGGCGTCGTTCAGCCTTTGTACCTTGGGGCCATTGTCTCTCGCGATTATCGCATCCGATGGCGAGCCATTAAGCTGCTGCGTGCGTGGCCGCATCGAGAGGGACCATTCGACTCGAATTGGATCCTCGCACTGGCTGAGGAGACGCTGCGTTTGGAATTGCTGGCTGATCCGGCAGTCAACGTGCCAGAAGATGCAGAGTCGGGTTCGTCTCAAGAGGATGAATTCGCGCCCAGTCGCATGCTGCAGGACTTGACTCAACGACATTCGCTACTCAAGCAAATGTTGGCCCCAACTGCAGAGGATTTGGATGATGCAGCATCCCCGGCAGACGTGCTAGGCTCGGTCAAATGGGCGTCGGAATGGTCATGCATGCGTGCGTTCAAGGCGAGGTTTTCAGATTACGAAAAGCCTGTTCCGATCTAGTGTGATGATATTGTAACTTACTATGCCTTGACGTACACTGTCCTACACTTGCGATATCTACCCAGCCTAGTATTTCCTAGCGGCAAATTCATGCAGTAATCATGACAAAGCTCGTGTCAATAATCAAGCTCGTATCCTGCAGAGTGCTAGAATGAACGGCTGATTCCTTCGCCTCAACACAAGCACCAGCCTATGACTCGGGAAGCTATGCTGCAGAAGCTAAACTGGCTTAGGCTGTTCTAGTACGATTCAGACTACGGTCGCTACCTAGTAGCTGAAGAAAATCCAGTTGGGTGGATATAAGGCTGAAGGCTAGGGTCCTTGGCTCCTCCACTTCGGCTTCCTTCCATTCAACTCGAGCTGCGATGACGCGTCCAGGATGGCTGCTAGTCTAGCATCATCACGGAAGCCTATGACTGCGGAAGAAGTATTGCCCTCTGGGAGTCTCTTACCGGTGAACAATTGTCTATATAAGGACATGGCACACCCACCACCTCGTCATTTGTCACTGAAATGTACCATTAGCAACAATGAAGGCATCATTCACCACTACTATCCTCTCTGGCCTTGCCACCATCGGCAGCGTGGCTGCCAGCCCTCTCCGTCCGCTAGGGGACCTGGTCAAGCGCAACCCCGACGGCAACTTCACCCTCTACGCCTATGGACTTACCTCCGAACCCGTCAAGTTATTCTACGCTGATGGTAAGACCACCCCTCACTTTACCACTATCGTTGATATTTACTGAACCAGGACTGGCCTACTTCGGCACCGCCTCCGACTGGACCTACGGCTCCGTCGTAACCGACATCACCAGTTAGTCCCCCCTCCCTCCCCTCACAATCCCTGTATCAACACTAACCCCAAACAGTGACCTACAGCTCCGACGAAGTCTTCGCCGAAGCTCTCACCGAGGGCGTGACCCTCCCCGACGATACTCTGCTATACATCCGCCCGAACGCAGACGAAGTCACCGAGGTTGGCTTCACGGGCGATGACACCCCCTCTGATGCCGTAACTGATCAATGGATCTGGTATGGGGCCTGGATCATGTATGAGTCTGACTCTGGGGAGCTGTTTGATACGTTCTACGTCAAGGATACCAATGTCTCCACGGTGTGGCAGCTGTTTTGGGTGCCCGAGGGGGTGTCGAGTAGTGGGTATACGAGTGCGAATGTGCGGGATATCGCTTGATCCTGAGATCTGCGTTTTCTCACTTGGTGCATACTGACTGGTGATGGGTGGTGGATGGGATGCTTATTACTGAATGGCAGTGTAATTGGAAAGACCATAGACTCATCATGGATGAATACAAAGCCTGACGGGTTCATTGCCTAAGACCAAGTTCTATAAACTGTAGATCATCTAGCGAGAGAAACTTACGCGATAGATGCACATTGTCTTCTACATAACTCCTACTCTCTTCCCTTCAGTACAAAACAAGGCGCAAAGCAATAGGAATAATCATGACATTCTATATCCAGAACTCCGTACCCAAAGCAAGTCTATAAGAACATCGCAATCTAGACACATGCCAATGCCACCACTATTCACTCCTCAACTCAGTCAATCTCTTTCCAAAGTACCTCTCCACCTTCTTGTTCTCTCCCACAACACTACCCGCCATCCCCCTCATCCTCTCCTTAATAGCACCATATCCCTGCCCAGAAACAATCATCCCCAGCGCCTCCAAAATCAGCTTCTCCACGCCCTGAATCCTCTCTTTTTCAATACACTCCGTATCATGCTCCAGGCGCATCAAAATAGTCCGATCAGAAATGGCACAAAACTCCACCAACAGCGCAAACTTCGACCCCTTCGTATACGTAACCAACGGATCGAGCCCCTCCACCGGCAACTTCGGCGATGAGCGATCATCATGGAAAGTAACCATGACATCCAACAACGGATGGTTCGGGAAATCAGTCATCTCGGCAGCACCCACCGCCTCCAGCAATTGGTTCCATGGAATGGCATGCGCAATGGCCGACTGGCTGGACCGTTGGACGGCACGAACGAACGACTTGGTCGATGCGGCGGTCGGATCCCGCGACGCCGAGAACTGAATACGAATAGGGATGGGTTCTAGAAACAGTCCGACCGTGTCGAGATCGTCCTGTCCGCGGTTGAAGTATGGTCCACCCAGGACGACGTCCGTGTCGTCGCGATGCGACTGCAGGGCGAGTGCCACCGAGGCTAGTGCGAGCTGGTGCAGCGTGACGCTGTTTGTCTCGGTGTATTGAATGGCCTGAGTGGCGAGGGTCTTGTTCAGTCGGACGAGGTGTGTCTGGCCGCCGTAGCTGGAGCGGTGGGTCAGGTTGGGGATGCTGTATAGGGCTTCCCGCTGGATGGTGGTGTCGCCTAGGTACTGCGCCCACCAGTCGCGCTCGTTGGCGGTCGCTTGGCTGCTCCATTGCGTTGTCTCGTGGTAGTTTCGCTTCACGGGGCCGAGGCCATCGCCGCGGTACAGACGGACCACTTCACCCAGGATTACTTGTAGGGTGGTTAGGTCGGCGATGAGATGGCTCATGGCGACCAGCATCATCGACTTCGAGACGATGACACGGATCGGGTGCTGGCGATCCGGGTGGAAGGGTCTGTTGGCTTCGCGCCAGAGGTTGAAGCCGTGGACGCGCATAACCTGTGGACAGTAGCGAGCGTAGGTGCGACGGGGTCCCTTGCCGCGGTAGTCGAGGTGGGAGCGACTGCGGAAGATGTCGTGGCGGGCGAGCACGGCGTTCCAGCAGGCGATGAGATGCTCGCTGTCCACCTTGGTGCTGTCGATCTTGCAGGCGAAGGTGACGTTGAAGGCGGATGTGCCGAGTTGCAGCTGGTACTTCTCCAGCCATTCTCGCTCAATGGGGGAGACGCGGTTGCGACCGAGGGGTTTGATGGTCGATGCATTTGGGGAGGAGATCTGAGAGACGAGGCCGTCCACTGTCTGGGCCAGTTCGGAGAGGTTCGCGGCCTGGATGATGCGTGGGACGGGCACCTTGACCCCGAAGGTCTGGGAAACTCTGCTGGCGAGACGCAGCTGCATGACGGAGTGGCCGCCCAGCTCGACGAAGTTGGATTCCGGGGTGAGGGCATCGCTGTCTGAGCCTAGCGAGAGGAGATCCTTCCACAGCTCGGCAAGGGAGTGCTCCGTTTTGCTGGAGAGGGTACGCTTTGCGGCTGGTTGAGCTACCACTGTGCACTGGTTGGCGATCTCCTTGTAGTCGAGCTTGCCAGCAGGCGTCATTGGGAACTTGTCGACGACCATGATGCGACGGGGCATGGCGTGCACCGGTAGGACCTGGGACATGCGCTGGCGGACATCAGCGACGGTGAGGGTCTCCGGCTGGATCATGGCAACGAGGTAGTCATCCTTGGGGCAGATAGCGACAGCGGTGGATTCGGGAATGGCATTAGCGACGCGAATCTCCAGATCATTCAGATCAGTGCGGTAACCGCGCAGCTTGATCTGCCGATCGTTGCGACCAAGACATTCGACCTGACCGAGACGGTTGAAGTAGCCGCGGTCTCCAGTGCGGTACATCTTCTCGCCCGGGCGTGCAACAATGTTGTCGGGCAGGAACCGCTCCGCGTTCAACTCAGGACGGCCGATGTAGCCGTTGGCTACCTGCACACCGGCGCAGTAGATCTCGCCGACCACTCCGGGAGGGAGAAGCTGTCCGTTCTGGCCGAGGATGTAGATGCGCGTGGTTGCGTTGGGTCCGCCGATGGTGACGGGCTGGCCGGGGAGCAGGCGTTGAATGGTAGCGCCGCAGGTGGCCTCGGTAGGGCCGTACATGTTGTAGAGGGTGGTGGCGCTGGACCAGACGTCGTTGACGTACTGTGGCACGGGTTCGCCGACGAGGTAGACGGTGCGCAGCTCGGGAAACTGCTCAGGCAGGAGGATCTTGGCCACCGAGGGGGTCAGGATGGCGGCGTTGCTCTTCTTCAGGTGGGCAAAGGTGTCGGCGCCATCAGCCAGTACCAGGGTTGCGCCGTAGCAGAGAGCCGAGAAGATCTCGTGGATGCTGCCGTCAAAGGCGGGCGACATGAGCTGCGAGATGCGCTGGCCTGGAGCGGCGAAGAGTCGAACCTCGAGGTCCTTCTGGAAGGCTACAAGACCGGCGTGGTGGCACATCACTCCCTTGGGCTTGCCGGTTGAGCCGGAGGTGAAGCACAGATAAGCGTTGTCTTCGGGCTGAGGAGCGGAGCGGTGGTGGGGAGTGAAGTTGTCGGGGATAGTGGCGATCAGTTCCTCGACGGAGAAGCACAGGTTGCATGCTTCGGGAGCAAGATGCTTCTGGGACGTGGCAGGCGTCAGGTACAGCTTTCCACCGGCTGTCTGGAAATTGGTGTTGCGGATGTGGTCGGGCAGACCAGGGTCCTGGGCAGAGTAGACGCCGCCAGCCTTGAGGATGCCGTAGATGGAGACGATCCAGTTGATGGAACGGTCGGCCAAAACGCAGACGACCTCGCCAGGTTGGATCTGCAGGTTTGCAGCCAGGATGCTGGCCTGTCGGTCCATCTCGGCATAAGTCAGCTGAGTGCCGGCCTTTTCTACGGCGATGCCGTTGGGAGTCTCGCGGACAGCGCGTTCGAAGAGCGTAACGAGGTCGTCATGGATGGAGCACAAGGACGTCGAGTCGGTTTGGCAGTTGCCCATCTGCATGAGAGTATTCTTGCAGTTGTCCGTCAGGATGTTCTTCATGCATCCCTCCATGGTCTGCTCAGACAAAAGCAGATTCAGTGCATGATGGAAGTGGTCTGCAAGCATCTGAATGTCCTCACGATGGAACTGTTGTGGCCGGAAGCACAAACGCAGAGTGCCAGTGTATGTCGTGTAGATCGACAGGGGAGTGTCGGGCACGACGCGGAACCATGACTCCTTCACGGGTCGGACTGCGTGACTGTCAGATGCCTGCATTTCGAACTCCATCGCCAGCGCAGAGGTGAAGTTGCGGGTGTATCCGTCATCCGGGACGGAACTTTGTACTGATGCCAGCTGGACTGAGTGGGCAAACACCGCACGGAGATACTCCGCAGTCGACAATTTGCGGTCGATGGACACATGGAAGGGCAGGACGTTGATCAGCGGCCCAATGGTATCCTCAATGCCTGCGATAGGCAGGTTACGACCAGCCAGGACGGTGCCAAATACAACAGAGTCAGAGTCGGTATACAGAGAGAGTGCCATGGCCCAGGCAGCGTGATACCAGGCAGACAGGGAGACACCAATTTGACGAGCACGAGTGGAGATCTCTTCCAGGGGAACAATGAAAGTGACATTGTCGATACCCGCAGGCATCTCTTCACGGACTGGAGGAAGAACGAGTTCCCCGGCAGGCTGGGGATGCTTCTCCCGCTGCTGGGCCCAGAATTGCTGGTGATTTTGGCGGTGTTCCTGCTGGAAGGCACGAAGTCGGTTGGCCACCTCGCTGAATGGGGCACCGGCTGTGATAGCACGACCGTTGATGACATCGCGGACTTTGCCGTAGACAAGCTGACCCGACATCCCGTCGACAAAGGCGTGGTGGACACGCCAGATGACCGTGCTGATGCCTGCTGAAGGCAATGTCACAACATCAAATGCACACTGAATGGTATCCGGGTAAACGTCCTGCACGATGGCAGCGTCATAGGCCTCCTGCGAGTCGACCACTGTCTCCGTCCATGTGAAAGGTGCCGAGGGTGTTTCGTGGCAGGCATCTGACTCGAACGACATGCGGAAGATGGGCTCAGTCTGAATGACAGTCTGCCAGGCGGCTTTGATGACAGGCAGGTGGGCCGTCTGGTATGTTTCGAAGAAGTTGATCATGTTGGAACCCGGGGTCGTTTCGTGGCTGTGCAGAAATGACATCTGCATTTCTGTCAGGGCAGATGCTGTGTTGCTGCGAGGCACATCCTTCTGGACAGGGGCTGACTGTGTCTGGGGTGTTGCAGGTTGGTAAACGACAGGCACATGGGTCGTTACTGAACCCTCAACAACGGCGGAAGCCACGAGCTCGGCCATGCTGCTGCTCAGGAGAATCGACTCCATGGTCAAGCTAATGCCGTCGCGCTTACATGCGGAGGCCAGCCCCAATGCAAGCAATGAATGGCCACCCAGGTTGACGAAGCTGGACTCCAGGTCCACGCTCTCAAGGGGAAGTTGAAGAAGCCGGGCGGCATGAGAGGCGATGATCTTTTGGGACTGCATTATGCTGAACGATTGCTAAACAAGAAAGATGC